AAATCTACCTTCTCCCAGCTCTAGACTCCAAGTTTGCCACCACTGTGCTGCACTGCTTCTCAGAAGAGATGATGAAAAAAAATAATAGTTAACATTTATTGAGCGCTTGCTAGGAGCCATGCGTCCCACATACATCAATTTATTTAATCACTAGAACAACCCATTTTACAGACGAGGGAACTGAAAGAGGCTAAGTAGTTGCTTACGGTTCACAGTTAGGAAGTTCAAGGACTGAGATTTGAATCTAGCAGGCTGATGCCAGAGCCCAGGCACCTAATCACTGTAGAGTGTCATTTCTCAATGTGCATAGGATGAAAGAATGTGTGAGTGGATGAAGAAGGCCACTGTGACCACCAGCCCCACTGAGAAACTTTAACATGACATTTCTTGGCTCTGGGCCTCACTTTGCCCATCTGACCAAACAATCTCAGTGGTTCTCCTAGTTCAAGAAGGAGCCTCTGCCTTTGCTGCCTCATTTTCCTCATCTGTCATCCAAAGGGATGGGACCTGGATAATCGCTCAGCCCTTTCCAGCCTGTAGGCCTATGTTGACAGAACCTTCCGTGTGCTCTAGGCCACAAGCCCAGGATTTCACCGGCAACGGAATCCCCACAGTGCCCAAGGGATAGGTACTTGATTAAGCCCATTTTATAGGTGAGGAACTGGGGCTCAGAGAGGGGAGGGGACATGTCTGAGGTCACGAAACAGTACATGGCACAGCCAGACCAGGAACCTAGTCGCTGATAACAAAGCCACTCTGAACACTAGTCTATGCTCTTTCTAGGAGCAAGACATCCACTCTGTGGGCTTGTTGGGTGCTCTGGCAGGGGCAAGACCCCCAAACAGCATCCAGAGTTGAGTAGCAGCCCTGTCCTGCTCAGTCCTTCAGAAAGTTGTTCTGTAATACACAATACAGGTAGCACCAGGGATCCATGGTGCCCAGGCTGGGTTCCTGCCTGTGGTGCTCTCTGGCTCCCCTGGGAGAAGGAAGGCTGCTGCCTCCTTTGCCAACACTTTCTCCCTGGACACTCCTTGGGGCAGATTTCCAAGGAAGAAATAACTTCATTGTTTCCAAAACTTCAGCCTAACCACGGATGTGCCCTGATGAGCCACTGTGGCTAATGCCACTTGTGGGGGACACTCAGCCTCATTTGGGGGTGATTTTTTTCTACGAGGGAGAAAATGACTTGAGGGCTCTGCAGATATTCGGAGGAGTGAGCAGGGCTGCTTTTCTGTGTGGGAGCCCAGAGAGAACATTCTGAAGGCCTTCTCCTGGTAATGTTGTTTTTGCTGATATGACATTGTGCCCTGTGCTGATGACAGGGAGGACAGAGGGAAAGCCAGCAAGCAGCCCTCCTGGGGAAAGACCGTTGGCATCTGGAGGGTTTAGAGTCTCATTCAGGCTCACTGTTCAAAGGGTGCATCTTTTCCGTGCTTTCCTTGAAAAACAAAAACAAGAGCGGAGACATGAGCCTGCTTCTCCTGTTCCCTGTCACCCATCTGTCAGTCTGGCTGTCGTCTGACTGTCTATCCTCTGTGTGTATACTAGGCACTCTGGAGGGAAAATTCTTTCCTCCCAGGCTGGTTTTCCTTAGGGAGGGCCTGTAGCCTCCTCGGGGTGGGCAGGGGGGTGTTGGGCCCCAGGGCGGGGGACGCATATGTACATCCCAGAAGCCTGAGAGTTCAGAAGACAGAATCTTGGGGCCAGGTGGAGTGGGCAAGGGGGCTTAAACACTCTGAGTTCTTCACTGGGGCAGGGGGCACCTTTGGGGCGTATGGTGGGGGGGTAGGGAGGGTGGAACTGGAAGTTTGGTGACCTTCCCTGTCAATTGGCTCAGAGCCCTCCCCCACCTGCAGAGGAATTTGTAAATGGGAGGGGGCTGCCCATCCTTCCTCCATCACCTTCCCAGACACTTGTTGGGGAATTAAAAAAAAAACGCTGAACTTTTTCACTTCTTAAAATGTGGATGGGTAGGGTGAAGGGAGGATACCCTTTCTTCTTACCCTCTCCCCGCCCCCAGCCTCCAGCCAGACAGGGCAACGGACCCCTCTTCGGAGGGAGCCCTCCGGGAGCCAGAGCCGAAGCCGGAGCGGTGGGGGCAGGCGAGGCGAAGGCGAGGAGGAGGGGGAGGAGAGAAAGGGGGGCGAGGTTTGCTTCTAGAAGGGGCGTGTGGCCAGAGGAGCCTGTGTTTTAGCAACTTCAGAGAGAGCGAAGAAGGCTGAGAAGGGGAGGGAAGAAAGTTTGTTTCCCCCCGACGTCAGCGCCGGGCGGGCCGCGGCGGCCGCGGAGCCAGGAGGCGGCGGCTAGCGGGGCAGAGCGTGGGGCGGCCGG